TGATGTTTTCATCCTGGAAAGAGAGAATGGAAATGAAACATTTAATACTGAATTATGGTTTATTCTAAATAGAATCTAGTTAATAAAAAAGAAAATTGTATTTAGCAGTTTACCGTACCACTGCATAATGCCCAGTAATCTTTGTCTTTATAATCATCGCCAATATCAGCTTTGGCCAACTGCATCAAAATGTTTTATTTAGTACTGGATAGGAGCAGAGAAGGGTTAGAACCTGCGTCAGGTTTTTGTTGCTATATGTAGCCTGTGATAATTGTGCGTATAGATATGGACAATGACAACCATATTTTGTATTATACTCTGCAGATGTCATTCTCACTCCAGTCCTCCCCCCACTCCCTCATTGAATGGTATGTGGTCTGTGTGTGTGTGTGCTGGGGTCACAAGTGCATAAGGCACAGCTGGATAGCTTCATGGTTGTAACCCCAATTAAGCCTGGTTCCAGGATGTCTGATAAACCCTTTCATCTGGCCGGTCGTAAAACTCTAACTCAGTCAGCCCCTTGACATGAAACATTATCTCAGAGTGGCTGTAAAACGTACATCCCACTTGAATCACTTTTTCATACAAATTTATAAACTTCAACAGGAACAGTGTACATTAAAACAAAGCATATATTCAGATAGGTCATTTTAATACGAGTCACCTGACACCTAACATCCATAGGTAATGTCTACCAGAGAGTAGAAAGCAATATCTTTTTATCCGTCACAGCAGGATACAGTTGTGTCCAAAATTATTCAACCCCCACTGAAATTGAGTGTTTTGGCCAGTTTGACATTGCTTTTGATCATTCAGTCATCTTGCTTACATTTACATTAAAGAGGCACTTGTAGGTCAGACAAATATAACATAACAGTTATAATGAAATAACCACAAATGTCTTTTCTGTGCTCACAGCATTATCAGTTTTTATTCAACCCCCAAGTGACATTCAATCTTAGTACTTAGTACAGCATCCTTTTACAGTTATAACAGCTTTTAAACGTGAAGCATAGCTTGACACAAGTGTCTTGCAGCGATCTACGGGTATCTTCGCCCATTCTTCATGGGCAAAGGCCTCCAGTTCAGTCACATTCTTAGGCTTGCGCACTGCAACTGCTTTCTTTAAGTCCCACCAGAGGTTCTCAATCGGATTTAAGTCTGGTGACTGCGATGGCCACTCCAAAATGTTCCAGCCTTTCCTCTGCAACCATGCTCTAGTGGACTTGGAGGTATGCTTGGGATCATTGTCCTGTTGAAAGGTCCAACGTCTCCCAAGCCTCAGGTGTGTGACGGACTGCATCACGTTTCCATCCAATATCTCCTGGTACTGAAGAGAATTCATGGTACCTTGCACACGCTGAAGCTTCCCTGTACCTGCAGAAGCAAAACAGCCCCAAAGCATGATTGACCCTCCACCATGCTTCACAGTAGGCAAGGTGTTCTTTTCATCATAGGCCTTGTTCTTCCTCCTCCAAACATAGCGTTGATCCATGGGCCCAAACAGTTCTAATTTTGTTTCATCAGTCCACAGAACACTATCCCACAACTTTTTGTGGTTTGTCCACATGGCTTTTGGCATACTGCAGTCGACTCTTCTTATTCTTTGGAGACAGCAAGGGGGTACGCCTGGGAGTTCTGGCACGGAGGCCTTCATTACGCAGTGTGCGTCTTATTGTCTGGGCTGAAACTTCTGTACCCACATCTGACAAATCTTTTCTCAGTTCCTCAGCAGTCACACGGGGACTTCTCTCCACTCTACGCTTCAGGTAGCGCACAGCAGTCGAAGTCAGCATCTTCTTTCTGCCACGACCAGGTAGCGTTTCAACAGTGCCCTTTGCCTTGAATTTGCGAATGATGCTTCCTAAGGTGTCTCTTGGTATGTTTAACATCTTTGCAATCTTCTTATAGCCATTGCCCTTCCTGTGAAGAGAAATCACCTCTTCTCTTGTCTTCCTGGACCATTCTCTTGCCTTCACCATGTTTGTAACCACACCAGTAAATGTCTAGAAGGAGCTGAGTATCACAGTCATTTTAAAGCTGCCTAATTGGTGCTTATTATGCTTGATTGCTGCTCGGTGACATCCACAGGTGTTTTCAATACCTGATGGAAAGCACCTGTATGAACCTCTGTTCTTCAGAGTGGTAGTCTTTAAGGGGTTGAATAATTGTGGCAATGAAGAAACCACATAAGAACCTTTTACTACTGTATTACATAAACAATTGATGTCATTTTAGTTGCATTTGGGTAGTTACAACGTCCTTGTAGGATTTGATTCTGAATACAATTCCAAATGTACACTATAGTCCCTAAACCCCTTTACAGCATTGGGGGTTGAATAATTTTGGACACAACTGTATGTCATATTTGATGTCTGAACGTTCAGAATATAATTCTACATATTTAATCTGCCAGTGGCTAGGATGCTACATGTACCTAGTGAAGGTTCTTGACCATGGTATAAACTTGAGAGGGATTTGGTCACAGCATGGGTCTCCACCTAACACCCCTCCCCAAATGAGGCAATTGGCCCTTGGCTGCTGGGACACTAGAAAACAGGCTGTCAGGCCTGGAGAGAAAGAAGAAGAGATTCTCCCTTTTAACATCAGGAACCATCTTTGGGAGAAAAGGCAAGCCTTTTGTTAGGATGATTGGACTCTGCTTAAACCAAGGACTTCTGCAAGTATCCTACCTTCTTAAATTTCTTTCTTTTATCTCTCTGTTGTGTTATTGCTCTCTCTATTTATATATATATATATATATATATATATATATATATATATATATATATATATATATATGGCTACATCTTTTCTGTAAATATTTTTATTGCACCATTTTGACCTTTTTAGTAATAAATCCTATTTTCTGAAAAGTGTTGAACTGTTTCTAAAGCTCTTTAATGCAAACTAAGAATCCCTGTCTCTGAAGAGTGCTACTGTGTGTTTTAAAACCTCTGCATACATCTGTCTGAGGTGGCAGTGTGTATACAGATGCTTATTTAAACATCATAGTGTTACTGCTAAGATTTGTGAGTTTCCTCCTTCTCTGTAAAAAGGCAGTGGTGGCAGTGTGAAGGGTTAATTGGGTAATTAACCTGACCCAGTAACAATCGCTCTCAGGCTGCTGGCACATAGATTGTGGTCCGGTGAGCTGGAAAATCTTTGTGCAGGGTGCAGCTGAGAGTGGCATTGTTACGCAAGTGGCAGCGCGGTTTTAGATTGGCTGGTCCTTCGTTCACAAGTTGGTGAGAAGGGCTGGGGTCTGACACCGCGCCCGTCACATAGCCCTGTTAGAAAGACCTCCCTTTACTTCCTGCCAGGACAGGAGGTGATTGAAAATCTATCCAATGGGTTGCCTTCTTGTCCTGGTGACACCCTTACTCCCATCGCAGGCATCATAGTTATAGGAAGTGAGGGGATATCTCCTCAATTGAGTTGTGGATAGAAGAAGGAATATCCAAAACTGAAAAAAAATATGACTGGACTAAGGTTCACATTTTCTGCAACCTCAATTATTTCCCTATAATTGCCATCCTCAGCCACAGTTTCATTGGAACCCTAGGATTCTTCCAGAGGTTGCTAGGGTTCCTTGAGCTCTGCCTGACTGACCTATTTGATGGTGCCTACATAAATCCAAAGTCAGAAGCATGATACCAATTAATTTTTAGCTGTCTGTAAGGGTGTCATTCTTCTTACTGACCACCAATGTAAGGGATATTTTTCCATTAATCCCTGATGAATTGATTTCAGTAAGAGTTTCCCAAGACCTGAAAATTATTTTAGGGGTTCTTTTGGAGTAAAAAGAGAAAGACTGTCTACAAGGTCCATGTCTCACATTCTGGAGCATGCCTGAACTCTGAATGCTTCCTCAAACCTGATGTCCAGACCAACAGTTAAATACACTGCTGAGCTACATATATGTTAACAGTTCAACACTGCAATTGATTTGGAACTCCGATCAGCCAGAATTGTGTTTTAAACTGCTCTACCAACTGCACAGCCAGAAAGATGGCTCTACTGTTTCAAGTACAAGCTTTACACCATCCAATGTCACCAGGCTGCCTATTGGACAATTAGATGGCAGCTCACACAGGATGCTGTGTAGCTAGATCAGGTTCCCTGTTATACAAAGCAGCAATCAAAAGATCAGCTGAACAAAAGTACCATGGCTGGTAAAATACATTCATAGGGTTGTCCATCAACACCACACAAAATTTCTTTCAGACATTTTGATAAATGCAGCCCATAATTCCTGTTGTGTTTTCATTGCAATGCTACAACATTTTACATTTTAGTAATGAGTGGAAAACAAGCAGACTAGTAAGCAGCAGTGAGTCAATTTCTATATGAAGTTCTTTAAAGGTTTTCAAGAACACCATGACCACATCTAATAACATGTCAGAGGGCTTATTTCTTTTTCTTATGTGGTCCCTTAAAAATGAAGTTTGGGGTATGAGATCTCACAGCTTGCTTATGCTTTGAAGCACATTGCATTGTGACCTGACGTCTCAGCAAGTTAACTTTGTGTTTGATGTTTTATAAGCTCACACAGACTTGCACACATTTTATTGATATTAAAGTCACGATCCAATTCTAAAAACTATGGCTTTTTCTTTTGCACTACATTAAATTTGAGAAATTCTCATTGATGTTTTGCCATTTAGCATACTCTTTTCATCAGATTCAACACACAATGCTATTGGTATTCTCAAATATTTCTGTTTAAATTGACCATTCATTAAATCATTTTAAATGAGTAGCTGAGAAGGTATTTCTGTCTTTATGTTATAAACAACCCACTTCATTTTAAATTACTTTGTTCCGGTATGCGTTCCTAAGTTACCAGCACATTAGCAAACCAACAGTACTTTTTTCAAACTCTGAGGCCAAAGATTACAATTTACAATGAATGTTTTTGTGTGGATCTTTTTCATTACAGATGGAACAGACCATGACATTGTTGACTAACATTTGTTTTTTTGTCAAAGGATAACTGCCTACCGACAGTGATCATGTGCTGAGAACCAGTCTTCAGTATCTAATTCACAGACTCCTGTGACAGTAGTTTTTATGGTTGGTCCTGCTGTGGCAATAGTTTTATTTAGGATACTTACTTTTTGACAGCTTTCTATGAATTCATCTATAGTAACTACTCCATCTTTATTTATATCCATTTTCTGCAAAATAAACATAGATTAGTAAATTACAAATAAATACAATAAAAAAATGTATACTTCCTTCCTTTCGTCACTCTTTTTCTGCCTTTTCCCCTTTTTCCTCCCTTTCTTCCTTTCTCTCTCTTTCTCCCTTCCTTTTTCCTTTCTCTATTGGGCAGCACAGTGGCTAAAGGGCAGCACAGTGGCTAAATGGTTAGCACTTCCGCCAGGCAGTACTAGGGTCATTGGCTCGAATCCCAACCACGGCACCACCTGCCTGGAGTTTGCATGTTCTCCCTGTGCCTGCGTGGGTTTCCTCCGGGTACTTCGGTTTCCTCCCACACTCCAAAGACATGCTGGTAGGTTCATTAGATCCTGTCTAAATTAGCCCTAGTATGTGTATGTATGAATGTAAGTTAGGGACCTTAAATTGTATACCCCTCGAGGGTTAGGGACTGATGTGAGTGTACAATATATATGTAACAAGCGCTGCGTAAATTGACAGCGCTATATAAAAGTACCTGAAATAAATAAATAATAAATAAATAATATTGGCCTTCCTTCTTTGCTTTCTTTATCTCTCATCCATCGTTTCTTTTTCTTTTTTTCTTTTCTTTTCTCTTTTCTCCTCTACAAGGTTCCTTTCTAATTTTTTTTTTTATCTTTTTCTTCCATTTTTTTTTTCTTTCTTCCTCTTTCCTGCATTTCCTTTCGTTCTATTTCTAGGCTATCCTTTCTTCTTTTTATTTTCCCATTCTTTCTTCATTTTTCTCTCTTTATTCTTCCTTTTTCTCTCCCTTCCCATCTTCCTCTTCCCTGCCCTTTCCTTTTTCCTTTTTCTCTCTCTTCCTTTCCACATCACTCACCCATCCTTTGTTCTCGCCCTTTCCTTTCTTCTTCTTTTTCTCACTTTCTTTCTTCCTCTTTCTTGCCTTTCCTTTCTTTCTCATTCTTGCCACTTTTTCTCTCCTATCTTTTATTCCTCTTTCACTTGCTTCTTTTCTTCTCTTTCGGTCATCCTTTTTTCCTCTTTCTTTACCCTTTCTTTTTTCTCTCCCTTCCTTTCTTCCTATTTCTCCTCTTTCCTTTGTTTATCCTTCTCTCCCTCCCCCTTTCTTGCCAAAGAAAGAAAGGAAAGGAAAGCAAGAAGAAACTCTTTCTTGCCCTATGTTTCTTTCTTGGGTATTATTTCTTCCTGTTTCTTGTTCTTGCATTTTCTCTCTCTTCCCCTCTTCCACTTTCTAGTTCTTCCTGTTTTTGTCCATTCCTTTTTTCATGCTTTCGTGTCCTTTTTTATATCTTTTTTTCTCTTTCCTCTTCCTTTCCTTTCTTCCTTTTTTTCTCTCCTTTCTTTCTTTCTGTTTTCCTGCCTTTCCTTCATCTTTTTTCCTTTTCCTTTTTTTCTTCCTTTTTCCTCTCCCTGCCTTTCTTCATTTATCCTGTCTCTTCCTTTATTCCTTTTTCCTCCCCTCCTATATTTCTTATATTTGCCCTTCCTTTATTTTTCTTTCTCACCTCTTTTTCGCCTTTGCTTTCTTCCTCTTTCTATCCCTTCCTTTCTTTCTCATTCTCTTTTCCTTGCCTCTACTTTCTTTCCTATTACTTGTTTCTCATTATTGTCTTTCCTGTCTTTTTCTGCCTTTATTTTTCTTCTTTCCTTTCCATTCCCTTTTCACCCTTTTATTCCTCTCTACCTTGTCCTCCCTTTCTCTTAATTCTCACCCTTCCTTTCTTCTTCCCCCCACCCCTTGCTTTCCCCCTCCTTGCCCTTTCTTCCTCCCTTCCTATTCTTTGCTACATTTTCTCCCCATCCAAGGTCTCATTCACGATTATCCAGTGCAAACATACCCTCTTCTAAGTAGTATTGCTATTTTACTGTCGTAGGGATTTTAAGGATGTCCTTACCTGAAAGAAATTCTCCACATGTTGTTTTGGTGTATCTTCCCTAACAATGGGATAAGTACATTTGCCCATCATGTCATAAATTGCCTTCATGATGTCAAGCATTTCCTGTTAATACACAATTTATTTGATTTATTTTACATTCTCTAATTACGATAGGCCTCAGTTCAGAAAATGCAGTTTTTTATTGTACAGTTAGCTAGAAATCAGATATTAGTTGTCATGGTTCTTATGTAGGTTACGTTTTAAAAAAATAAAACTGACGGATTGCTAAGGGCACATGGCAGGTTTTTTTTTTTTTAGACATTGTTTATATAAAGCCCCATATGGACATCAATCAGATGTAATGTACAATATTCAACACAAAAAATCAGAACTCTACTCAAACCTAAAAAAATATGTATTTAAAGAATTGCACTTAACAAAACACTGGTGGCAAATCTATTTTTTATATTGTCCTATGCAAAAGAAGAAAGCAGACTCCGAGTGGGAGGCAGTAGCATTTAATGATAAGAGAAAGTGAGCACAGACAGCATCTTAGCACTGTGATGATGTCACGCTGGAGGTGTCCCATTCACAGTGCAGTGTGGCTGATATGAATAATAAGACTGGATAAAAATTAACATTATGTGGACATGCACAAACCCCATAGAGTAAACCAAAAAAAAACAAAACAAAACTTCACTTTTCTTTACTAAGCCAGATCTTCCTTCATTTGTGTCTTGCATGCGTGTGATGAATGCAATGTCCCTGGCCACTTTCACCAACACGTGACACAATACACAATGACACTGTCAGTCTCACCCTGCACAAAGATTTTCCAACTCACAGGACCACACAGGTGCAGTTTACGCTCTCCTCTGTGCGTGGCGATGTGTCGCTGACTCCTGTACAGAGGTAATGGTTTAGGAGAGGAACAGTGTTCTAGTTTGCATAGGTGTAACCAGGGGAGCAGAAGTCCAATTGGACACTGATACACAGGATGACCTCAGAAACCATCTTTAGTGAGGGGAATGCTAATAAATAGCAGTTGCCACTGTAGTTGGCACGTAGTTGTGAAGTGGGTAAAGTAGGGGTAGGGTCCATGTTGGATAGGGACAACTACAGTATTTAGCCGACAGCAGAAGTTTCTGATGAGGAGGGACAGACTAGGGACACTGCTGCCAGCTCCGCTATTCCCGAGACTCAAGTGCTGTGACTAAGGGGTTGTATTAGCTCTTCCAACTGCTGCTTATACAGCCACCCCTCTACACCTAAGGGCCAGAATTATTCCAATGTGCCGCTAATATTGCTGATAACTTCTGCACTTGTGATGCTTGTGTCACTGAGATGCTGACTCCATCTTGGTTTGGAACTGTTAAGCCAAATGTCTTTCTGCTGCTCGTTGCTTGTTACTTGTTACAATTGCCCAACTAAATAATAATATTGCCTCCTTACTTGATCTCAGTGTGCTGATAACCTTGGTGGATGTTTCCTATGAACCAACATTAAGCAAACACTGACATATTGTAGTGTTCTGTTCCAGATTTCCTGTTAAAGCGGAACTTCACCCTAAAGAGGAAGTTCCACTTTAAGCCCTCCTAGGTACCTACTCCCACTTCTTGTCGAATCACCTTTGATTCCACCGGAAGTTCTCCCTCTACCTGCAACCTTCTGGAACATGTCATAGTTCCTAGAAGGCTGAGGGACCATTCACAAAGTGCAGCGTGGCTCACGCATTTGCAGTGGAAAGCTGGCTGTGACGCCATAAGTTGTCACAGCTGGTTTCCCACATTTAACATGCCGGCGCTGGGGACCCAAAGACCAGTGAAGAAGTGGTTCAGGTGAGGTTGGCGCTGTATCCTTTGACAGGTAAGTGTCCTTGTATTGAACATGGTGCAGAACCTCTTTAAGGCATTCAATTAGTTATTAACAGATTTATATATTAACAGGTTTGAGCTAAGCAGGTTTTATGGCCTTGCTGGAAAAATTGTGTATTTCTAAGTCATGTCCTGGGATGAAGGGGGGGGGGGGGTCACTGGTTGTGGAGGTATACTGGCTCTTAGTCCCTATTCTTAAAAATGTCAATGCTGATTTCTGAATATTAAACAAGGATGCCCTGGGTCCTCTCACACCACAGTTTTTGGGGTGCCCATTTCTCATTATCATCACCAGGGCTTTTTTTCAGGGGGAATGTGAGGGAACACAGTTCCGGCACTTCCAGCACTGAATGTATTTATTAGTAAGATATGCTGGAGGGTCAATTGATACTGGCTGCTGGGGGATCCATTGTTGCTAAAGGGGATCTATTGTTGCTGGAGGGATCTATTGTTGCTTGTGTGCTTATATTGTGGTGGGTCCTTCCTGGCTGGAAAGGATTACCTGTTGAGGGAGGGGTCTACTTTTGCTGGTTGTTGGGAGTCTATTGTTGCTGGGATGGATCAATTGTCGCTTGGGGGTCCATTATTGTTGGGGGGGGGGGGGGGGGGGGGGGTAGGGGTCTGTTGGTGCTAGCTCCAGGGGATTTGTTTTACTGCCTTTCCTGTTATCATGAACAAATGCCACAAAATGATACATGATTCTGTATTCTCTAAAAGAAGCAGTACTGGGAGGTGGGTAGAGGGTGGAACCAAGGAGGAGCAGAGACATGGGGATTCGGAAAGGGGTTCCGGTACCTATTTCTGAGAAAAAAAAAGCCCTGATCATCACAATGCTCCCCTGTCAGACACTGCAGCTCACAATGGGAGGGTTTCGGCAACAGGGGCAGTGCTGTCAATCCAGACAGCAGTTGGCAGGACTAGGAGTGATCAGGTGTTCACAAGTTATTTTCATCACATTATTATTATATATATATAAACTAGGAGTTAAAGAGAGGAACATTTTATTAGAAAAAAAAAGGTTTTTCCTTGTCAGGTTGCTTTAACTGACATCAGCTGCAGATTGAAGTTGGTCCCTTTAAATTTCAGATGAATGAACAGAATGATACAAAAAAACTATTTGTTATATTGTATCTTACTTTAGTCTGAGCAAGTGTTATTTATAAACACTGTCAGACTATTTTTTGACAGCTGAACTGATCTTCTCATGTCCTATTTACATTGAGCTACACATGTCCTATTGAGCTACACATGTCCTATTTACATTGAGGACCTTTTTTGGGGGCTTGTGTAGCATAGCATTCCCAAAATCAGTACCTAGTTAAAAGAACTGTTTTGCCACCTGGGAAACCATATAGGAACACTGGCTAGTGGAAGAGAGTTTGCTAGAGACTGTTAGACACCTTGTCAGGACCCCCTTAGTGTACGGATTAGGGGTAAAGTCACTGGTTCACATCATTGTTTAACTGTGTATTTGTTAAAATGTTTATTACTGCTTTTTACATCCTGTGGTTATTGTTTTGCTGTGTTTTGCCCAAATAAACAGTTTCCCCTCAGCCTTGGGTTGTCAGAGGGTGTGGCATTGCTAGGAAAGTTGCTGACATGGTGGGCAAGGGTCCCAAACATCAGTGGCTCCTTTGGGGGTAAGCACTACACAAAGGAAATGCAGGATACTATTTGTAGTATCAATTCACTTCAAATAAGTGACATATGTTGTTAGGGTTTACATTTACTTTAACTTGGACTGGAACAATAAAACAATGCTTGGATGAAAAAACTGAAGCCCTGAGCAGGTCATTTTCATTTCTGGCTTGAATGTACCTTTAACCACAAAACATTTTCCTCATTCATGAGAGCCGAATGCTGAAGCTAGTTCATTTGTATTACAGACGTAGTGTAATTCTTATTTATCTCATTATAGTCAGTCAATAAAATACAGAAATAGTGGTGCTTACCTCTTTAGTTATATAGCCATCTTTATTGATGTCATATAAATTAAAAGCCCAGTTAAGCTTTTCTTGTATTGTTCCTCGTAGCAGTGTAGAGAGTCCCATTACAAAGTCCTATGTTACAAGAAGAAAAGTTAGTTTCATGGTGTGCTGAGCAAATCATATCCCAGTGGTTTAAAGTCCTCTCAAGCCTTTCATGCAGGGGGAGAATTCAGGGGACAGTTGGTAGTCGCTGATGGACACTCACTAGCAGGCAGAACTTATAAACATTGCCTAACAAGTTTTATTTGTTCTGTAATTCACTCTTCCTAGGTTACATCTATACCTTTGGTCTCCAAACTGTGGCCAGATGTGTCCCTTTGCTTGCCTGATACCAACAATGGGGCACTATTCCTCCAACTGACACCAATGATGGGGCACTATTCTGTATATCATCATTGTGTTGAATAGGGAGCCATCTATTGGGTGTTCACTGCAACTGCACTTTTTATTATTTTCTTCAACAAGAACAGGAAGTGTCTCAAGTTTAAGAATAAAGATTTTTCCATAAACCACTGCAGCCTTTTTAGCTTGTAGAAGATTACCAATGAAGGTCTCCTTCATCCTCCCTTTGATACACATATGCCTGTAAGTTCTTTCATTGCGTTTGTTAAAGTTACATACATAGCTAGATAGCATTTCAATGTTTTTAGTGTTATTTGTAGGTAGCTGTTTGCAAGAAATGTGTTCATTGTATGTATTTGTAAGAGACATGCATACAAGCATATTGTAGTTTAAGTTTCTGTGATTGTATTGCAGTTTTACAGAACTATTCACAGAAGTAAATTCAGTGTTTGAATGAAACACAATGCTGCTTCTGTAAGTTTTGTTAGGTACCTGTTGGCTAACCGTTAGTAGGACAGCACAGGGCACCATTCCTTCCACTGACACCATTGATGGGATACTATTCCTCCCACTGATGTCAACAATGAAGCACTATTCCTTCTATTAAAACCAATGATGGGCTATTGTTTACCACTGATGCCGTGGGGATTTTCTACTCCCCCTGGCCACAGTCTAGCTCCCTAAAGCCTGAAGGACAGTAAACTCGGCCTTTGCATAGAAAGCCTGGAGACCCCTGATCTATACTATCCTAATGCCTGAGTGTACATGCATGCAGCCTGCTATGCTAATCATTGCATGGCATTTAACAGTACAGGCAGCAGGGATTGTTGAGTATATATTGTCTTCTTTAGCTACAGCAACATTTTAACAAAAGCCATTACACATACATTTATTTAATTCAAGATACTGATTGATTTAATTTTTATATTTAGCTGGGCACACAGGTCACAATCTGACTGCACAAACTACTAAGGTCAGGTTGAATGGTACACAAGTAAAGCTACCTTATCAACATATGTGAAAATAAAAGACAGAATGGTTAAAATAAGATTGTAATGTGTGTGACCAATGTTACAATCTGCTTCAGAAACAGAAATCTCACAGCTTTGTTACAGCATAAGTGAGCCTCGCACGTTTGGGTTCCTGTACAATTAGATTTAAAAAATTGTCCATCTGAATACAGAAATCTATTGGAACTTACTACAATTGCTAAACTTAGACTTTGAAAAACTTAACATCCATTTCAAGGTAATTCAAGGGAAATACTCTCTGCTTGCACTGCTAACCCTCCTTCATTGCATGTTTTCCACATATCAGCTGCTACATATTTTGTATGCCAACCTGGTGACACTCATTACACATGAATGGGCATGTTTAGGTGCCATGCAAAAAAGGTACGGAACCCACACAAAGGCAATGGGACAAGGCAGGATAAGTGGCCAATGTTCTGAATGTCATCAATATGACTAATGTCCATATTTGTATGGTCTGTACATGGCTTGCATATGTAAAAAACAGAAATTATCCCAATCGCTGTGATAATTACATCTTCAGATGGCCAATCTGGTTTGTCTAGTACATAATTATGCTGTTGACTTTAAAGTGGTTGTAAAGTTGTTGTTAAAATAATAAACATGTTATACTTACCTGCTTTGTGCAATTGCATTGCACAGAGCAGCGCAGCCCTGAACCTTCTCTTTTGGGGTTCCCCCTCCCCACACAGTGCTCTTGGCTCCTCCTCTTCTGTGTCAAACAGCTCGCTATGGGGACAGACAATGCAGGCTAGCTCCCAAGCTGGGCTCTGTGTGTCCATAGACACACACAGCATGGTTCCCCCCTCCCTTACAGGCTTTGATTGACTTTGACTGCGTCTGTGTCTGTGAGGAGAGATAGAGAGAGCAGCAGCAATGCTGCTCTCAGGCATAATGCTGGATCAAAATCACTTAATGCATACAATGCATTAGGGGTCGGTTCACACCATAGAAACACAGTCCGGATGCATTCCGGGTGCATTTCTGCATTCGTGTTTTTTATGTGTTTTTGATGTGTTCCGGTTAATTTTTTCCCCTCTCTTTTTTCTTTAACTGAAATAAGGAAATGTGTGTTTCAGTGCATTTTTGGTGTGTTTAGGTGCGCTTCGGTATGTTTTTGGTGCGTTTTACTGCGTTCCAGTACAGTTCAACTTTTTTTCTGGAAATAGAACTGACCGCACTGGTGTGGACTATGCCATTGGAAACCATGTAACCTACTATCAATGCATTTTTGATGCAGAAGAAAAAACGCACTGGACTGCATGTGGTATGAACTGCACCTAAGCCCTTAGAATCATTTTAATGTCAATATTCCAAATTACTATTTTAAGAATGGGCACACATTTACTAATCAATTTCTTCAACTGTCCAGAGTTTCATAGTTGGTGAGGTTGAATAAAGACACAAGATCATCCAGTTTCTCCTGTGTGTGTGTGTGTTAATTTTCCTACAAATTCCCATATCCCTGTATGTTGTGTTTGTACAGAAACATATCTAATTGTTTTTTGAATTTATCAACACTCCCTTCTGAGGCCACCAACTGTGGAAAGGAGTTCCACATCTTTACTCTGACAGTAAAGAACCCCTTATGTAGTTTTAGATTGAACTACTTCTCGTCCAACTTCATTGTGTGGCATTGTGTCTTCTTTAGTGAGCTTAGATTAAAAAACTTTCTCCCAAAGCTACAGTCATCATTGAAAGATTTCTATACTGCAATCATATCCCCTCTTAAGCGCCTCTTCTCCAGAGAGAATAAGTTAAGTTTTGTAATTTTTTGGTTCTTCAGCCCCCTTTATTAGTTTTCTTGCTCTCCTTTGGATGCTCCCCAGTACAAAGATATCCTTCCTGAAGATTGGGGACCAAAACTGAACTGCATACTCAAGATGAGGCAGAACCAGAATTCTGCAAAATGGTTGAATTATAGTGTTATCTCTTGAGTAAATACCCCTTTTAATGTATAATAGTAGTCTGCTAGCCTTGTTTGCTACAGCTTGGCATTGCATGCCAAGAGTTTGTGATCTATTAGAACCCCCGGATCCTTCTCCATTCTTTCCTATATTTCCCCCCTAGTGAATAAAGCTGGTCATAGATACATCATTCATTTTGATTTTGATCCATCTATGGCTGTTCCTGTTCATGAGAAGTTGATCTAATGATCGCCTTCTCATGAATGGGACTGCTGGAAAATTTCAGTTCATTCAGCTGCAGCACTGATCAGTGTATTCTGACAGCTATCCCTGCTATCAGAATACAAAGGCACAGCAGGGAGGATTCCTTCCTCCACCTTGAATGTGTGGATGGGGGAATCTATTAAATATATATATATATATATATTCCCTGTATATATAAACTAGAAAAAAAAAAAACAAACAAAAATGACATAATCTATGATCAGTCTAATGGCATGCATCAGTTCTCCTTTAAAATGGAACTAAACTCTTTCATACGACTGGGTAACTAGTTTGGCACAGGAGGCTTCATTAAGCTCTCTTTATTTATTTATTACAGCTACTTATATAATGTTATCAATTTATGCAGTGCATTACACACACACACACACACACACACACACACACACACACACACACACCACACACACACACACACACACACACACACACAAACACACACACACACACACACACACACACACACAACACACACACACACACACACACACACACACACACACACACACACACACACACACACACACACACACACACACACACACACACACACACACACACACACACACACACACACACACACACACACACACACACACACACGTATTTTCTTGTTTTAAACTTTTTTTTATATATTTCTTCATTTGCTTCCTGGTTTCTGACCTGGGCCAAAATGATGTTATAACTCCCAGGAGTCTTCATTGGCATCTGGAGGAGGGGCTTTCTCGGCTAAGCACACCTCCTGCCTGCATGCCTGAGCTAAGGAAGTAATTGCTTCATGAATTATCTGCCCTTACTCAAGATGGCTTAGCTAGAAATGCTAGGGGGTGATTTTCAAAGTGATTTCTCTACTAAATAAAGCATAGAGACATGAATGGGTTTGCTTTGAATATAAAAAACTATTTAAAAAGGGTTTTTAGTTTGTGGTGCTCAGACACAGTTTAGTTACCTCTTTAAACAACCCCCTGTTATGTGTGCAAGCAACTGCTTCCAATTTTAAGAAGCTAAACTGGAGTAAGCCAGCATCTCTGGTAATTCTGAGAATGTTTCCTTCTTTTTAATAGAAATATAAAAATAAGGCCACATGTAGGGTCCAATTAGTTCCTATTCATCACATTTTTCTATGATTAAAAGTCCAGATGTAGTCATCCCTTACCACCAGGGGGGTGATTACCAATGCTGGGAATGGGCTAGTGAGGAATTCCCCCCTCCTGAACTGAGTGTCAGCACTATGCTCCCCTACAGTTTACTCAAAATTTGTTTTTGCAGTGGCTTCAGAGAAGACTGGATGCATTCATTTAAATCAGAAAAATCCTTTAATCGACTCACCTGAAAAAGAAACATCATTCACAATTCCAGTAAACACATTTCCCAATCCTTGGCCCTGACTCAGAAAGACAATGCATCTTATATATACTGTACATTGATGGGAAGGGAATATGTTTAAGAATGAAATGTTGTTTCTATTCACATTTAAAGTATACCCAACCATAGATTGTTCAGTTACATT